CGCGATTTCAATCTTTGGGATTATTTTTGCTTTTGACGAAGGATACGTCTTTCGGCAACATATTGGAGGTGCAATTTTAAAAACCAAAATTGACCGCGTTACGAAAACTGGTCAGGTTTTGACCACGTATAACCCTGTTAATAGTGGATGGATTTTAATTCTAAACAAGCCAATTTCAATAGATCACTATTATAAACAAATGTCCAACTGTTGCAATGGAGAAAAAAATTATCGCCGATTGCCTGCAAAAAGCGCTTTCCCTAACACAGAATTCAAAATCGAATTCCATCCGGTCTCGCCGAACGGTGCTTATTCAATCACCGTGTGTAGTGGTGTCCGGTCAGTCATCATCATCATCATCATCAGCAGCAACAGCAGCAGTGCTTTTGGCACGTGGCGTTGAACATTGTTCTGCAACTAATATTTTCCAGTATCGACTTGCGAAACAATGTACTGGCTTGGCTAGGCGTTACGTGTTCGTTCTCTAATATTATATGAAAACTTCTTCCAAAACAATTAAGGATCCAAGTACAGAAAACTCGATGACTGCCGATCCTAAAAGGATGAAGACTTGTGCCTTCCTTTCCCCTTTTCGTATTGTACTACCAATACAGATTGGAAAGGGCATCCAGCTAAGGAAAGGGTCAAACTTTTAAACAACAGTTTCATTCAAAGGCCAATTTTTTTCCACCAAAATAACCGTTATGTGAGTGACGAGTGCCCAGCTCCTATTTAAAGAACATGGTGTAGAAACAAACTAACAATCCTTTATGCACATAAGGGTTAACATGCGTAGCCATGTGGTTCTTTGTCATTTTCATAGTTTATGCATTCATTGCACAGTAGTCCAGAATGCAGATTTAGCTGGAAGGATATGTTTTGAACCTGAAATTGAAACTTAAGGCTAAAAGTCTCTTCTACAAACCTGTTTATTATAGTTAGGTCCTCATTTTTAACACAATTAATTCTAGGGCGGTTCTTATTATCATTGAAACGAAAACTTTGTTGTTTGAAGAAATTAAGGTATACATTCTATGGCAAAGTTTTAGCTGACCTATTTTCAAGCAACTTTGTTAGAATTTTTTTTGTGTTTCTCTTACATTGACCGATTTAGATCTATTTTCTTGAATTGAGTAAGGGTGCCTCTAAAAAAACAGTTGTTTTGCTCTAGTTTTCCTATTTCAAATTTTTCAGCAAATATGTCTTCAAATAACCTTTAGATCTTCTTAGAGGCGCAAATTTTTGCTGCACAGAGCTTGTCGATATCTTTCGTCGATCAAGAGTTATTGAAGTTTTTCTACTGAAAATATGCCCTTTTCAAAAATCAATTTCAATTTATTCAATTTTTTTACTATAATTGGGGATATCTTTTAAATTAGCAGAGATACAGACAACAACTTTTGTTATGTGTCATTCCCACTAAACAGCAAGTGGGAATGACACTGATGAAGACTGCACATTGTAGTTGAAATACGTATCTGTTATGGATACCAAAATTAATTAAGTGGAATTAAAGGGCGAACACGAAATTATTGCGACACCGAAAATGTCATGCCAATTTTCTTATAATGTTTTAGTTTTAAACCAAAATTTTAGGGTAGTTTTGTACATATATTTACTTCAAAAATCAAAAGAAAAGTTAATCGATGGAGCCTTGAGTGTAAAATTGAACGCATTTTCGCTTGATGCCTTCCATCAAAGTCTTTACAGTGTCATCCGGTACCAGTTTCTCAGTTTTTTTTTCCATTTTCTTAACATGTCCTTCTCGTCTTTGACTGTCTTCTTGCTCTTCCGAAGTTCCCGCTTCATTATTGCCCAGTACTGCTCCACCGGGCGCAGCTCCGGACAGTTTGGCGGATTCATGTCTTTTGGAACAAAATGGACAGACTTGGCCTCATACCACTCCAGGACACTTTTAGAATAGTGGCATGATGCCAAATCTGGCCAAAATAGCGGAGCTTCGTCGTGCTGCTGCAAGAACGGCAAAAGGCGCTTCTCGAGGCACTCAGATTTGTAGATCTCGCCATTTACTGTGCCCTTTGTCACGAAAGGCTCACTCCTCAGTCCGCAAGAGCAGATGGCCTGCCAAATGAGATATTTGGAGGCGAACTTCGACATTTTCTTCTTCTTAAATTTGTCGTCCACATCGAACTTGCTCTTGCCGGTGAAAAACTCCAACCCCGGAACTTGCTTAAAATCGGCTTTTATATACGTTTCGTCGTCCATCACACAGCAGCCATATTTTGTCAGCATCTTCTCGTAGAGCTTCCGTGCCCGAGTTTAAGCCGTCGATTGTTGCCGCTCATCGCGGTTTGGGAAGTTCTGTACCTTGAATGTATGTAGTCCAGCTCTCTTCTTTGCATTCTGGACGTAGCTCTGCGACATGCCGATCTTTTTAGCCAAATCACGGCTTGAGACGTTGGGATTTGCTTTAATCATCTGCTTCACCTTTCCCTCCGTCTTTTTGTTCTCCGGTCCCGGTTTTCTTTCAGCTCCTTTGCCGTGGTCCAACGTCAACCGCTCCTGGAACCGCTTCAACACTCTGGAGACGGTTGAATGGTGAATGTTCAACATTTTTCCCAACTGCCGGTGCGACAGGTCAGGAAATTCCAGGTGTTTGGAAAGAATTTGTTCTCTCAACTCGCGTTGGTTCACCTCCATTTTCGTTGAATCGAAAAACACGACTTCGGGTTTGACAGCATGTACACAATACACATCAATGAGAAAGTGTGCAAAATTTGGTACCCAATGGTAAAAAAGTTATGCCCTGTTGAATGTGTCGCAATAATTTCGTGTTCGCCCTTTAAATGGAAGATAACCTTTTTGCTGTTTTATTTAATCATTCAGCTAACAACCCAATTTCATTACTTCAACATGCTATAAATCGGTCAATTCATGATATAAAAAAAAGGTTTTTTTTTTTCAACATAGTTGCATGAAATTAGGTCAGCTTTAACTTTGCCAAAGAATGTATACCTTAAATTCTTTACACAAAAAAGTTAGATTTTTTAATTGATTTAAATGGTAATAAGAACCACCCTAGATTTTATTGCCATAAGAATAAGGGCCTAACTATAAGGAACAACTTTGTTGCAGACACTTTTTGTCTAAAATTTCAATTTCAAGCTCAAAACTTATCCTTCCAGCTAAATCTGCATTCTGGACCATTGTGCATGGGTATGTATGTACTAAGTTTAAGAGTCTCGTTAAGTACAGATGTGGATTAGGGAAGAGCGCTACTTCTTCGTAATCGCCCATTTCCGTTCTATCGAGCAGAAATCAATAATATGTTTGTTTCGATGCGTTAGCTCATCAGCTACTACACAAAGCCTATACGCGTGCGTTGTATGAATATTTAAACTCATTGTTCTCAAAACATAAGAAGCGCTCCTGGTAAATCCAATAATTCTGTCTTCGTTCGTAGAACACAATAACCACCGCGAGTGAAGTGACTCTCCATTTAATTCACACGGAGAGTCCCGTCACTCGCGGTGACTTTTATCACCTCACTAGTGACAACGAGTCACCTCACTCGCGACGCAGAATAAGGGGGAGTTTTAAAATAATTTTTTTTATTTATTCAATAGGGAAAATGCACCAGCTACGACACTTTGAAATTTGTTCCAGTTTTGGCATGTACCAGTCCTACTTGACTGACAGGTCTCTGCGAGTGAAACTAGATTCCAATACTTCCTCGTATTTCACGAACTCGTCAGGTGTACCACAGGGTAGCAATCTTGGCCCGTTGCTGTTTGTGTTGTACATCAACGACGCACTTCTTCTACTTGGAGATGGCTGTAAGCTTGCGTATGCCGATGACCTAAAGCTGTACTTCGTGGTGCGGACTGCTGAGGATTGCATTCGTCTTCAATCGGTATTGGATCTGTTCGTTGATTGGTGTCGTCGGAATAAGCTTACCCTCAGCATTCCTAAATGTATGGTAATGTCGTATTACCGCATCAGGCAGCCGATTGTTTTTGACTATGCCATCAACGGTGTGGTTCTTCAAAGAACCGACCAGTTCAGCGATCTTGGTGTTCTACTGGACCATAAGTTGACGTTCAACCTCCACTGCTCTGCTCTGATCACAAAGGCGAATCGCCAGCTAGGTTTTGTGTCGAAAATATCGAAGGACTTCATTGACCCACACTGCCTGAAAGCTCTCTATTGCTCACTTGTGCGACCAATCCTGGAAAATGCCTCCTTGGTCTGGTTTCCTCATCAGTTGACTTGGAGCTTGAGGATCGAAAGTGTTCAGCGCAAGTTTATCAGGATAGCATTACGTAATCTACCATGGCGTGATCCGCAAAATCTCCCGCCGTATTCTGATCGCTGCAATCTGCTGAGCTTGGATACTCTGGAATGCCGACGGAAAAATCAGCAAGCAGTTTTTGTTGCCAAGCTATTGAATGGTGAGGTCGACTGCTCAAGGCTTCTCTCGCTGTTGGATATCCGAGTACCACCGAGAACATTACGAAGTGGTACCCTTCTCCAACCGCGGTACCATCGAACGGCGTTCGGTTACAACGAACCACTAACAACTATGATGCGTACGTTTACGGCTGTCGAAGAATTATTCGAATTTGGGGAATCTTCATCTCGCTTTTTGGCACGGATTAGAAACACTTGAATTGTTTTAGCTTTAAGGTTGTTTCATGTAGACAATAGTCCGATGAATAAAATTAAATAATAATAATAATAATAATAATAATAATAATAATAATAATAATAATAATAATAATATAATTATTAGCCTAAGTGTATTAAATGCGTAGTTCCAAAAACTGGTACCATTACGTGTATGGGAATATGCCAGAACTGGTACATATGCCATAACTGGCACACTTACCCTATAAGGTTTGGCAGGTTTTTGATTCCATTATTGTCAACGAAGCTTAGAGCTTTCCAAAATTGTAAGATTGTCTCACTTTATTTCAGATTTAATTCATAGCGAGCTGCACACAAAATATTCGGATTGACTAGTGCCAAAACTTACTCACTTTCCTTTCTAACATTTTGGTAGGCAAATTATTTAAAAAAAAATCTTTGTATGGTTTCAAAATCATTCTGATTTTAACAAATGTTCAACAGTTGGGAAACATTCAAAGTGTTTTTATGTTACTTCATTATGTTAACGATATTCAGAGTTGGTTGGAAATGCTATCTAACATGAAGCTTTAGTGTGATAATTTATTAGCTAGATATTGGTCTGCGAAGAGGGTTGGTAGATAGTTTACCTTGTTACCTACACAGCAAAAAATTGTGAATTTTAATTGTGATGTAAATATTCATTCACGTAAACTTGTGTTTCATTTCACTTAAACGAGCAACTTGTAAGCAATGTTGTTTACAAAGGTGGGCTTTTGTATACAATATTTGCAACATTTCGTGAAAAGTCTCAGAATTTTACACGGTTTATAATGTAAACTTATATGATATGTGACGCTCCTTTTATGTGCATCATATTGAACAGAAACTTACACTACTTTTTCGAACTGTGTAAGTCGTCCGATGTACGAGTAGATTTGAAGTATTTCTTCAAATCTACAGGCCAAAAAGTGCGCGTTTGACTTGCTCATATACACACTAACTTTAGATTACTGGAGTCAGTAAAATTTTACTGGGTTTTTGAATTGCGGATCGCCCAGTAATCATCACAGAAATAATTTGCATTACCGAACTGTCCGTAAAGTCAATCTGTCAAAAATAACTATTCATTCAGTAATTGGATCGAGTTGCGTATACTGGAAAACCCAGTATTTTTTTTTTGCTGCAATTTAACTGACAAGACAGTTATTTGGTTCATTATTGTACCGTGTTACCCAGTTACATTAAAAGTTTTGTCAGGAGAAATGAAACTTAATAATTTCAATAATAATAAGATGGCCAGGAGGAAAATCATTTATTACAATGTTTATTGCATTTTATTTTTCTCATATTTTCAGGATACTGATAGGAAGCTACAACAACCATAAAATCAATCCAAACTACGGAGAAACTTTTCGCCCGTAGTTGTTATGTTTCCCACCCCCATAAAAACTTACTTAAAGAATACAAAAAATTGCTTGTCGCTTGATCGACAATCTACATTGAAGACAGTCAACGACATGCACAGCATATGAAAACATTCCAAGAAATTCCTTTTCAAAGGAATAGTGACGTTCTTCCAGGAGATAATTCCATCGGTGTTGTCTTCAGGGAATTTTCCACGGACGTAAAGTGTAGGAGTTTCATGGTTCAATATTGGTATTGGGTCATCCATCTAAATGAATTGAAAATAATTTGGTCACAAGCCATAGCTAAATCATGCACTATACGTACTTGAATCCATTCAATTGGATGAGCTCTTGTCGTCATCTTTGCTTCGCTTCTTTCCTCTGCTTGGATTCTTCAATCGGATGATTCCCAATGCCCGTATGGTGTCTGTGAAAATAGGCATTAGTTATCAATTGCATTGATTCTACATTTAAAAACTTTAATTACCGTTAGTAACATACTTCAACGTATTCGGATAAGCCACTAGCACTTTGTTGCACCAAATATCAAAACCTTCTTCAAGCTGCCGAGCCTGAAGGTATATTTTTTGAAAATCGATTGAAATCTAAAATAAATTAAATCAAAATTTAGTATCGGTTTTACCACCCGTAGTGGAATCTCATATATCTATAACTAACTAAAATAATCATAAATTTTTCTTATTGCCACCTAATTGCTTCGGAAACAAATCAACTGAGCCTAAATTACACAACTTGTAGTCGTCCTAGTAAGAACAATAAAAAGTAATATAAATCCTACCAATGTCCATCGAAGCCCGCAGCTACTGGAAAATCTTGCATGAAGATGTGAAATTCTTCATCCTGGCGAAATCTATCACGATCAGCAAACGTTTCGAGCCATAACTCCTCCACCCGATTCTTTGTATTTGGGCCAGGACACAGAAACTTCAGTTCTTCAACCTATAAAGCACAACTTAAACATTTGATCATTCAATATTAATGAATCAACAATTAATTTACCAACTGTCTGATATCCGTCAAGTTATCCTGAATGTCTTTATTGGAAGCATTTTGGTCTTCTGGCACAGGGATTGTCTTGCTGCGGATTATTTTCCTGTCCGTTGACTTTCGAACGAGGTACTCAAGATGGTAATGTAGACGTCCTGTATGGCGATGTTTGCCTCTTGCATGCGGATAAAACCACAGTGCTTGTGGAATGTCCGGTGTACTCGATCGTAAGATTGAGTAAGAATCCACCAAGGAGATTGCCAGTAGATTTTTGTGAAATGCTGATGGTCGACTAGAATGTATCGAAATGTATGATTGAGCATTTTAATTTCTTTTGAAAAAAGACGTTGAATAATTACATTCCATAATTCAAACGCAGATAATCACACAAAATTTGTTTGATCTGTGTGGGTAGTTTGTCGGTGGGTTTGTTGCCTTGTTTCAAGGACTCCATTATTTGTAGCCCTGTGGCAGTCCTCTTAAGGATCCTATCGATATTAATTTTCTAAAATTGAAAAATAGTACATTAGACTTATACTAATCTACCTATAGTCACTGAACAAGCTGGGTCATTTTATTGATAGTCAACATCGACAAGCTTATTGTAGCCGTAATGCTGTTTTAAAAGGCAAACCATCATTGAAGTATTGAAGCTGTTGATTTTGAGAATCAAATAAATTAGCAAATATACTAGCTTATCCATCTTGCTTCGTGACCCATCTTGCACCGAATTATCCTATTATTTGGTCCATCATCATTGTCGTGACGGAAGATACTTACCTTCTCGAGACGAATCCCTTTGTAAGGGTTAGGTGCAGACTCGTCTACGGTGTCGTCCTCATCGCTACTCAGCAGATCTTCCACGATTTCCATCTGGTTGTTGTCTGTCTGATCATCGGATTGAGCTGATGCATGAGTTGCATCCATGGTATCATCAACGCTTTCTTCAAATACAGGTGCATTACGAATTTCTGTCTGCATTCGCTGAATATACTTGATCGTTTTGGTCCTCAATCGTAAGCGCACAAAGTCCTGGTCATTCAACTCCAGAAAAATATCGACGTAATCAATGCCTTCTGAGTCTACAAACAAAGTTATGATCAATATGGTGGTCAACTACGAAGCACATAATATTATCATTGCAATGCAATCACATTAAAAAATATATACACAGAACACATTAAGAACAGATAACCTAAATGAAGGTAGTTTTTACCTAGATTGGACTAAAGCGGACAAACTCATATTATGGGTAAATTTTTGAACCCTAGCACGGGTAAATGTTATTCAAATTTGATAAAACTAACTCATACAATATGGATCATATCTACGCATATTTTGGTTTACAAAATTTACACAATTTTGGTTTGTCAGTTTTGTTCCAATCTTTATAAAAAATCTACCTATATTAAGGTTATCTGTTCTTAGCGTGAACGGTGAGTTCACTTTTACCTACTTTTAAGTAGGTAGAAACCTACCCATTTCTACAAAAAGTACATATTCAGTCAAATATTTAACCACAAATCTAGATGCACATTTCGAAGGGTCTTATCTGCAATGATTGGTTTGCTTAATCGACTTTCTGTTTTGAAAATCTATGATTTACAAACACATTTCCTGCTTTTTTTGCCGCACAGTTTGTTAACGGAGGCCCTTATCTATCGTTATTTTTCATGACGTTAAACACAACAGGGAATGTTTTTGCAGGTGAGTTATTAGCGAAAGAGAAAGTCGATGAAGAGAATCGTTCAATGCGCATACGACCTTTTAAAATGTTCTAGAAGCTAGAGCTAGCTAGAAACAAACGGGTTCAACGTTTCGAGTGTGCACTCAATGGAAAATAAATTGTTTCTACTGGATGAGTAAAAAGTTATTTGATGTTAAGTAGTGCGGTATGTACCCATTCATATATGGATATGAACTAAAAATAAGTTGTGTTATCTTAGCGTGTTTTTACATGACAGCTCAAGCTCCTTCAAAACCTTCAAAACACTATATAATTTCCTTAGTTCTGAAAATCAGTGCATAATGCATTCTATTGTATTTTGTGAAAAGAGATTGAATACTGATGTCCAACTTTCTTCGGAGATTAATGTTATTGTCAACTATCAATGAAATGCTACGCTCAAACATTATATAGCATACTTGAAATGTATCGTACGTTTGTCTGTGCTTCTAGCAAGTTTGTTCGAATAACGTAGACTTACCTATTTACATACATTAAAGGTTCATTTTTGAGATGTAAGATTTAATTGTCGTTGTTGAAGTTGTTGCTTGTTAGAGGTTGATTTCAATAATCTTGATTATACAAACGTCGTGAAATAAACTTGGTACTGCTATTGTGGGGGGTCCAAAATAAAAACGTTGCATGCTGGAATACTTCATCAAAAGGTAAAAATCGTTCATTGTCCGTTTCTTCGACCTCATAAGCTTGAAAAATTTCATCGTATCCCAACGTGTTACAGCATCTCAACAAAAAATTCACCTTTCCGTCGTGATCAACTATTTCGAGAATAATGCCATAAGATGGGAATAACCTATTTCCATGCTTTTTGAATGCAACAATAAGGTTTTTGCGGAATTCAACTCCGTTTAGTTCTACCGATTTTTGAAGGTGATGTGTAATGTTTTCGTTGTCAAAATATATAGAACTTAGCATGTTTCCTTTCCTTACACTGACGTTTGGTTTGTAAGTAATTTTATCGTAGAAAGGGCGCTCCAATAAATCAATAACCATTGCAAAAATTTGACGATCAGCTAGACTTTTGCTTATATTTCTAAAGTTTTTGCAATTGGCCGCTTGTCTCTTAATTGGTTTATTCTTTTGTTCAAAGGGTAGACAATTACTGTGCATTGTGCTTCCAATATGCCTTATGCATTGTTCATAGTGCTGCAAGTGATGTAGTTTGTTGATACGCTTATCAAAATTTTCGCTGAACAGATCGGAGAAAAGACGAATGTGTTCGTTTAACCAGAGCAGCATATTTTCGGACACCACTGGAGACAATATAATTCTTGTAATGTTAATAAGATGACCAATCATGACCATAAGCTGGCAGTCTGATGGTACTTTGTGGCTGAATAAAAATGGAAATGATCTTAAAAGCAGGAAACTCTGAGATGCGGTTTGCCTTATTTTATAAACCTTCGGTTTGGTTAGCATCTGTGTAGTAAAGTTACTCATATTTAGGACGGTTTTTCCGATCTGCATAACCATAGTTGAATGTACTGATTCGATAATTTATAAACTCAGCCGTAAATCCGAGATCCATGGTACGATATCTGCTCAAAACAAACTGAATCGTTGATGGAATTACACCTTCGCCAAGATCATGCATGGGATCCAGTGCCCAATTCTTGCTAATATGGTAATATTCAAGAGAATTCAGCACACAACCGCTTCGTTTCAATCCGCATTCTGAAGGATGTTCTTGTCCACTTTTTACTGCCTCTAAATTACTATTATACCAATCTAATGTTCTCAAAGGGAACTTTTTGGTAGAGTCCTCTTTAAATATAGGTCGTGGAACGGTGCAAATTCGACAAAAATATTTGGCGCTAGGGCCTAACAATCCAAATACTTCATGTAGGGCCAGTGTATCACCTACAAACATGACTACAACAGCACGTATTGTAAAAAGCTCAGCATCGTAGTAAACCGTCACACCTTTCTCCAGTTTTTTCAAATCCGTTACCAATGGTTCCATAACTTTATTATATCCTTGCTTTTTCACCACTTGAGACAAAGCAAAGATTAATGGAAATATTGTTTTTGGGGAGCTATTAAACCTAGCAGGAAAGTTTTGTACTTTGAATGAAAAGTTTGATATCTTATTTTTTCCTGCTCGTGAGCTTAGGGCGTTCCCAGTTTCCACGTCATCTTGATACAGTGTAAGTCTAACCGCATCAGGGTAAAGCTTAAAATAATCGTTTTGTGCATAGAGTATTCCTGTTTTGAATGTGCTGTATTCTTTATTTCCTGGGATTTCATTGAGAACTTTGGAGCTTAGGAGCTTCCTGTTCTGAGGTTCGCGGAAAACTAATTGAAGTGTCTCAATAATTGGAACGTACGCGAATGTTTCATTCGTTGTTACTATCTTCGGTATACCATTTACATGCCGAACGGACTTGCGACTGCCTACGCATTTGGGTACGGGTTCAGGAATTGCTATCGCCAGATCTTGAAGGTAGGATTTCTGTTAGGCATACGTCCGAACATCTTTAAACAAATCTAGATTTTTGAAGCAGTTCAAGAAAAATTTTGCGGAGTCACTTTGAACATTAATATTTTCAGAGCTAATAAAATTGTTCGCGCAGCTTTCCAGATATTCCGTTAATTGTAGTAGAATATTTTCGTAAATTTTTACAACATGCGAAATTTTGGTTTGAGGTAGTCCCGTATCTGCTGCCAGACGGCAAATACTCAAAGAAAAGGTTTTTCTTATTTCGTCCAAAGTAAGTGTCGACTCAGAAAGTAGATTTTGCTTATCTTGAAAATCACTTTGCTGCAAACATTCTTCCATTGGAACATTGTCCAAATCATGAAGACTGGGTCCATCCACCGGGTGAACCTCCAAAATATGGCGTTTAAGGGACGAAAATTTTTTGTATCGTACTTTGCACTTCGTGAATGTGCAGTCATAAAAGCACGAATCCTGGTGCAATTCACCGTTCATAATATGCCAATTAATATGACGACTTAATCCTTTGACGTACCCCGGAACAGCGCGTCGACAGTGAAAGCAAACAATGCAAACATTCATTTTGTTAATCAAAATTTGTTGACGATCAAGGAACTGCAAAAAAAGTAAATAATAATTGTTGGTACTTACGAAATAGTTCTCCAATTTCACTGTCAAGCTTACTCAGTTCCGTCATGATATAATTCATGGTATAATTCAAATTTTATCAGAACTGCGCGCTTAAACACTTGCTCCCGGATTTTACTGAAGCTAAAATCGCGGCGGGAATAAAATTGACAGGTTAGAGTTTTACAATTCGTGGTCGGTAAAACAAGGTGGCTATTTTGCTGACCAGTCGGTAAAAAATAAAGACTACTTTGTGCACAGTAATTATTTTTACTGACTTTTCGTGAAATCTCGAATATTTGGAAATTACCGGTTTTCTCAGTAAATAAATATTCTGTGTACAGTATTTTGCATCAAACGATACCGAAGTTCAGTTTATGTTTTACAGAACGTCGGTAATTCACCAGATTTAAACTGAATTTTCAGTAAATCTTTCATTTTACCGTGTAAGCCCAGTACAAAAAAATACCGAACAACTAAATGCTGGATTAGTGTGTACTGTCTGCGGCTGTCTAGCGACGTTCCTTCGCTACCTAAAGCACCACGTTGCCGAAAGCATTTCCAGATTACGGGGCATCAAAAATGTGAGAAATGTACGAAAAAATGCGAATATATGAAATACTGGACTTTTTTTAATTCATAAAATAGATCAAATGACTGAGAAAAAGGACTTGGACTCAAGTAGGTTTAAGAAACTTAAGGACAAAAAGTTTATCAGGACATTCCAGACTTCAAAGCATTGTCCATTTTTTTTTCCTGATTTGTTTTCCGTCGATCTTGTTTTCCGTGTTGAGCACCAATGCTACCGACGCCAGGAAGGCAGCTCCCACACCTGGACCCTAATACCTATCGACCCATCAACTCATGAACCGGGGGACCAACGGCTTTACTTCCCATCCGAAGGAAGGCGTGATCAGAAATGTTATGACTCAGAACATCCTGGCGGTGCAGACTGGGATTGAACCCAGGCCTGCTGAGGTGAAAGGCAATCACGCTTACCACTACACCACTGGCGCCGCCACGCATTGTCCATGAATCGACGACTATGAAATGATTTTACAATGCTGATTTCTCGAAATTTGAATCTTCAGTCGAAATTTTTTCCAATATTTTTTTAAAACATAGCAACGCTTATGGGAAGTCAAAGTGTTATGTTGTGAAAAAAAATTCATCTAAACATACTTAAATTTTCAAACATCTTCATATTAAAAAGTCTTCACAAATCATGAATCGCCATCAAAATGTCTTCAAAAACAAAATGTCTTCAGATAAATTCAAATTACTACAAAATGAAGACATGTCTTCCTTCTCAAAGGGCGTAAGAAATTTAGCATCTCGGTGCAGTCACCTTCTTAACGGTGATGATTGGCACTTAAGTCTTGGAACAGATACCGACAGCGAATCGCTACAAGCATCCCTACCATCATTTCGCTTTGAAGGTTTGTACAATCTCGATTCAGAAAGCTAATCCCTACAACCGATCAAGGAAAAAAAAATCTCGAGACGAAACATTAAATGCACATACCGCGTGGCGGTTGATTCGAAGCTGCTGCGCTGGAAGGAAACGAAAACGCGAGCGCACTCTTGAGTCAATTTAAAACTTTTCAGTTCTATCTCCCGTGACTGTTGGTCTTGTTCTCATCCGGAAAGAAGCAACAGCATCAGCGCAACCGTAAAGTGCCTTCAACTTTAAACAAACATTAAAACGTATAATCAAAATTAATTTTTGATGTTAACGAAACGAGCCAGAGAGACACAGATACAGGCGAATGTGTGTAATTCGCTCGGCGGTTCAAGTGATTCTCGGCAGGCAGGTCTCGTACCTAGTCGGAAGCTGCCAAGAAAAGTTTGCTGCAAAGAAAAACAACACGAAAATGGCATATAAAAATCGCCAAGCGCAGACAGCCTGTTGACTTTGGGGCAACCGGTAGGTAGCAACATCTGATGGCAGTTGAAAGGCAGTAAGCTACATACATGATGATGGACCTGGGAAGGTTTATCCTTGCCCAAATTGTAATCATTGTTTTTATTTGGACACGACGTCCACGACGTAATGGAGGCAACGTTAGTGGGCGTTATAAGTTTTTTATCGCTTGTTCTGAAGATTTACGAACGAGGTGGTACGTTTTGTACTGTTAAATTGAGCACAGGACTGAACATAACCAACATTGCACGGAACGGAACGTGCACGGTTGAAAGTAACTGAATTATGTTCTTAGGGGAATGGAGGGTCACGATGTGTTTTTCTCATAGTGAAGTCTTGGACTGCACTGAACTGGATAGTTATAATTTAGTGCACCTGATTGAACCATACATTTCATTTGATTTGCACTATAAAACATCGAAAAAACATTATTGTGAACCAATGGGATTGATTAGAATTTAAAATATCAATATAGAACTTATGAATTTCTTATCTCTTTAACATTTCAAACTTTTTTATTTGATTTTGTATCCTGCAGCCAATAAACCAGGCGCTCACTGTAGTGACGGTGTGGTGTTGCGACATTGTCCTGAATTTCATCATGTTACAAATACATAAAATGATCGCTTATACTTACACTTGTCAATGTACAATTATTGATTGAAGCGATTTATTTTCATATGTTAGTCTGATCGTGCGATATAAAATTGAAACTAAATTTTCTATATAGATTTTGCTCCACCAAGCTTAGTCAATTTCAAAACAGGTCCTGATAATTCATCCAGAATTTGAGCTCATGTGAATTCATACTGCACTGGCCCTTTGTAGTTTATATGAGAATTACTATGTAAAAAGTGAATATTTGGTGCTTATTGTTCTAGCCTTTCGCTGAAGTGATCTGCGGAAAAGTTTAATCTCTGTACTAATGTGAAATTTTCTCATTTGCAATTTTGCTGAAAATCGCATTTGGATTGCACATCAGGATAATTATTTATTCATTATTTAGAAAGATTAGGAGAACTGGGGGTAAGCCCGTCCTTTAAGGAATAATTCATTAATCTGATCTATTTATAGATCAGCATTTTTTCTTCCACTACCATGTGTTGACTTAAACTGGGAACGTAAATTATGTTTTTAATATCACTAGAATGAGGCTTAGAATATCCTTAACAATTGGTTTTCAAATAATGTGAGAATAATCCTTGGCTTACTCCTAAAAAAATTGCGCATTATCCGAAGGCCAATAACGACTTGGGCGTTAACAGGTGACAGGCTGCTTGAAAATAATAGAGAGCTAATTTGGTTATCTTTCTCATGCAGAGTCCATGTCTAGACAGTTTTTAATAGACATTGTGTGGTAGTATGGTTTGAATAGATTATGTTGTAAATTACTGTTTATTACATAGAACTGACAACAATTGACGTACTTAAAACAGTGGGGGGTAAGACCGGCAAGACCGGCACTCTTTACCAAGCGAGCTTTTTGCATTCTTTGATTAAATTATATGTTTGTGAGGCTTAGTGAATAATTATGGTATTCATGCTGATTGAGCATGAGCAGGATTGACCGCCCGCAGATGCTACTCTGTTATTGCCAGATCAGCTGTAGTTACACAGAGAACCAATAGACGATGCTTGGGGTTAGCATTCATCTTCAATATGTAAAAACTAGGGATCTCAAATTAGGCAAAACCAGCACCGGCCGCGACTGAACGCAGGCCAGGAAAGGAAAGGGTAGAAATGTGTTGGCATGAAACCCCCTATGTTGAAAGCCGAGAAATTTTCTGCATTTTAGCGAGAAATCCCTGGGATGTTGGATAAAAGGATTGGGTTTGCAGCAGGATTCGTTATGGTAAACGCTGAATTGATATCCTAACGATCACATAACGCGAAGTAGTTTGGGACTAAGCCCACGGTCTTCTGTTATTGATCTGCAAGTTCCTTTTATTACAATACACCAATGATCGATTTGGTGTTATTCCAATGGATTCATATTAACAAATAAAGCGATTAACGAACCTTGAATGTGGAGGGGATTGAGATTAATCTCATGATGTTCTACTCAGTAAGCAAAAATAGTCACTCTAGGGACACCAAGCCCCTCACATCACAGCATACAAGCTACGATCGCGTTGCTATTGCAACCATGCAAATCGGGCCCCCAAGGATTGAGTGATATCAAAAAAACTACTATCTAATTGCGATACTGTGATTGAAATTTGCATTTAGCAGTTTAGAGTTTGGAAAATAGTTCCGTTAGAGTACGGCAGTATGAAAATTGAATAGAAGTTGAAAATGAGCGAAGGGCCATTAATGCGACAGTTTTTAAAGATAGACGCACATTTTTGCCTAGCCCGTACGATGTACGCGGGGACTTGAAGTATGTCTCCAAGTCCACAGGCAAAAATGTGCGTCCCTCTTTTTGCTCATAAACTGACTGCGGCTGTGGAATAGTTCTAGCGACGTTTTCATCACTACCTAAAGACCCACGTTGCGAGAACATTTCCAGTCGATGGTGTGTTATAATGCAGTTCTTCTTTACCCAACTATTGTGTTGCTCCTCTCGTCATGACCAACGTGATCATCTAAGAGAGAAAGCAGTAGGGTGGTTGTTGGGTGCTGTACCATCATCAGCATTGTTGACGGCTACTCCCGCCTTGAGTTGTTACATTCAAAGTGTTTTTATGTTACTTCATACGCGAAGTTAACGATTTTCAGAGTTGGTTAGAAATGCTAACATGAAGCTTTAGTGTGATGATTTATTAGCTAGAGAATGATCTTTAGAAGAGGGTAGGTGGATAGTTCCATTAGAGTACGGCAGTATGAAAATTGAATAGAAGTTGAAAAACTGTCGCATTAATGGCCCTTCGCTCATTTTCAACTTCTATTCAATTTTCATACTGCCGTACTCTAACGGAACTATCCACCTACCCTCTTCTAAAAGATCATTCTCTAGCTAATAAATCATCACACTAAAGCTTCATGTTAGCATTTCCAACCAACTCTGAAAATCGTTAACTTCGCGTATGAAGTAACATAAAAACACTTTGAAAATTAATCAGTTTTGGGATCTCAACCTTTTGTCCTTTAGATCATTTGGCCTTTGGGTCTTATGTTCTTTCGAAGTTTTGTTTTTTTTACCATTTCATCCTCTTGCC